CAAATCGAACGCATGTGCACATACTTCGATAGGCTTCTACGAACGAAAAACAGGAAGACGACTCTCTAAAAGGGATGTTTGCGACTGATCCAATGATGAAAGGAGAGTTCATTTGCTTCATCTTTTCTCTGCTACCACATATCGTAAAGAAGACCCCAGGTATTGGCAAAGCTTCTTTGATATTACTTGTATGGTAGATGATTAGCTATCCTAGTGCAAATTTAGTCATGTCGGAAATTGCTCTTACACTGTATTTGACACTGATATAGCATATAACCTTACAGTCATTACATATTTAATGAATCTTTCCAGGTGTCACCGCAGAACGCTAGTTTTTAAACTTCAGCTGCCTGATGAATTGCGAAGGAAGTGATTCGCCAGCTATTGATGTGCTATAAAGAAATCTCATATTTCATACCGCAGTTCGTGGACTTCCATTTTCAGGTCTTTTCTCCATGCCACTTCCCAGGCACGCAGCCCTTGATCACAAAGGCTCAGTTCAAGATTTTCTTCAAAAGCAGTTCCATTCAAATCCACGTTCTTCCATCCATGTATCATAAAATCTTTATCGCTCCATCTAGAATCAGTACAATAATTTTTGCTCTTTTGCCGTTACAAGAAATCGCTGCATATTCGCTGATAGGATCTAGGTACCTTTGCTCGGTAACGAAGCCATCACGTGCAAATGCTTCAAATCTGCGAAAGATACGTATTTTTCCGGGCCACATCCTTGTCGCACCAAGGGCCTGCCTTACACAGTAAACCACAGCCATGTAGGTGTTAAAGCTTGTTGCGTTTATTAAGTACTCCTCGCATGCGTTATATTCAATTTCGCTTTCGGGAATCAAAGTTTTGAGGAGAAGCATCTGGAATTGAAAATAACGAAATGTAAAGAAATCAAGGATAATAGCATGAGTTTTTGGGACCTACAAGTGAAAGCATTTGATATGGTTGAGTCACAATTATTGCTGATTTTTTGAAATACGTAGAATCCATATTTGCCAAACTATGCTCTGATTCGACAAAGGTGGGTCATTAAGTCATTT